ATCGTCTATAATAGAAAAATCGTCAATGGTTATAATAGTGGGCCGATATTCCAAAGGGGGATCAGTCGTCAACCGCTTCTCAAGGCGCTATCTATCTCAACACGTCGAAACGTCTTGTTTCTGGAAAATCTAGGATTCAAGGTCACGAGAGGAAAGTAAAGCGTTTGTTCTGTTGCATATTTCTCGTCTGCCGCGTACCATGGAGGAAGAAACGCTGAACATTCAGACACCGATCGTCTCCGATGAATCTATAGCACACTATGAAACGCATGCGCATTAACCTTACGCCTCGTCAACGTTCAACAACAGCGACGAGGTTCGAATCTCCGTTTAACATCAAGACCTATGCTTACTACCGAGCAAAAGTTCGCTGCACGTGTATGGAAAGCTGGTCAAGGAAGATGGGTCCACAGCGACTGCGAGCACGACTCTGGTAAACAATGCCATTTGCCATCTCTTCGAGGAGATTCGCTACGAAATGAATGCTATAGAGATCGATCGAAACAAGAACGTCGGTCTCACGAGTCTCATGAAGGGATATGTTTCCCTGAGTCCCGGCCAACGATCCTTGATGGAGAACGCCGGTTGGCTCGACGTCAGAGAACGGGAGAAGTTGACCAATGCGGATGGTTACTTCGACGTATCCATTCCGCTGAGTATGATACTGGGTTTCGCTGAAGATTATCGCAAGATCATCGTTAACGCTAAACACGAGTTGATTCTGACGAGAGCAAAGAGCGATGTCAATGCAATAGTGCAAACTGCTGCGGAAGAATGCAAAGTCGTAATTCACAAATTGGAATGGTTGATACCGTACGTAAAGGTGTCGGATCGACGAAAGATACAACTGCTGAAATTCATCGAGAGGGATGCACCCATCTCCCTGAGCTTCCGTACCTGGGAGCTGTACGAGTACCCTCTCCTCCCCACCACTTCGAAACACGTGTGGACCGTCAAGACGTCGACTCAGTTGGAGAAACCACGATACGTGATACTGGGTTTTCAGACGGGCAGAAAAAATAAGAAAAATAAGAACGCTAGTCACTTTGACCACTGCAACATCAGAGACGTTAAGCTCCTTTTGAATTCGCAATGTTATCCCTATGGAAATCTGAATCTTGACATTGATCATAATCAGTTTGCCCTGCTATACGAGATGTATGTAAACTTTCAAGCTACGTACTATGGCAAAGATCCCGAGCCTTTGCTTAAGAAGAATGAATTTCTCGAGTACGCTCC